CGGACCGTTGCTTTCCCTCAGAGCCGTTGGGCGGTGCGCGGCCGCCCGCGCTGTGAGGGGAAGAGGGCGGCGGCGGGGGTCCCCTTGCTTCTCCGTGTTAAATACTGCGGGCGGGCGGCCGCTCTGCTCCCTGTCACAGCAGGTCTGTCCTAGCCAGCGGGAGCCCTGAGTCGAGGGCGAAAATGACGTTTTGGGCCGCTCTGGCGCCCCTCCCGCCTCAGCCTCCCAACAATCCCTTAAATACATGCAATGTATAAAACACAACAATTGAAAAGCGTAAGCACAACTATTTCACTCTGCCTTTTTTAAAATAAACACACTAAAACAAAGACCCTTTTTATTTTTTTTTTGGAAAAAGAGGACCAGTAGGATTCTGGAGGATTCAAGAGCCAGGATCCAGTGCTTTCACAAAGCAAATAGATGTCACAGATCTGGGACTCAAGGATTAGGTGAAATACAAATAAACAATAAATAGCCACTGATGATGTGTGCTTCACCTATTACTGGCATCCTTGGTTGCATACTGCATCGCATTTTGTAAACGTGAATGCAAATACTGCAACCATATTACAAAAGCATATAACACAAGCTGCAAAGTAAGAGAAAAGCTATCCCTTTTAATTTCTAATAGTAGAATATTTCTACAGTTGTTACTCTGGGACATTGAAGGGAAATCCCTGAAATGAGAAACCTCCCCTCTTTTCAAAGGGAATGAAAGGACTTACAAACTACTCACGTGTACTTCAAATTTCCTTCATTCTGCAGAAGGCAAACACCAAATAGGGGAAAAAAAAATAAATGCCAAATGCTGTAGTCAACAGAGAAAAAACAAAAACTATTTTCCTGCAGTCACCAATGCTAGATATATGAAATACGTGTATTTTTCTTGCAAGGTAGTGCATGCCAACAAGGAGATAGCGCAGAGACATTCAGCCTCAGAGCAAGAATGTTACCTATTGCTGATGAGTTTAAGAATAAAGAGAGATTAACTGTTAGGAATTAGAGTTATTTGCATACAATCTATTAAGTTTCCGGGTACAAAAGGTTAGAAACAGGACTGACAAGGTTTAGAAACTATCTGTACTTCACTGAAGCTTTAAATCAAGTTAACACTCTCACAGCCCTTTGGGGATTTGCATAATTTTCATAATATGCAGCATGTTTTTGCCTCCCGATAGAAGCTATCGGTTATGTAAGCAAATTGCCTGCATAATTATGCAGATGGGATAGTAAATTTAATTGATTCAACAGAAAACTGTGCCATTCATTTCACCTGAGATTTCTGTGAACTCGATGAGCAATAAAATAAATGAGGAGAGGTAATCAGCAGGTGATGCTGTCATATACTAGCTCCATTGCATAAGGTACCTATTTTCAAATGGAGTCAGACGATACTTTTTTTCCCCTATGAGCGCAGGACTGAATTCCTGTTTTTAGCTGAAATTCAAAACACTTACTCTTTATAAGTGTTGCTGCCGTGCTTTGTGGGAGTAGTACTGTGGCTTTGCCTGGTCTCGTTCTCCTTTACAGGTTAGGTTGGGTTCCCCACCAGTTCCCATAATAAATTCCACTGGCTCAGCAAGAATGGACCCCAGGTGCCTGTGTGTTATCTCAGTGAAAAGGCCTAGAGGTCCATAAAAAAGAACGGGCACTCTAGACAGTTAAATCATTTCTGTAAAGTGGAGCAGAAACATTTCTGAGCAGACAGCTTATTTTACACCAGATAAAATTAACATCTGAAAGAGTTTGTATTTGGGCTACCTCTTGCCCCCAAACACAAGGAAACTTTTAAATATCACAATAAACTTCTTGCTACAAGTGGCAACAGAGCTAATTTCTCCTTGCTCCCGTATTTCTTATTCTGTTCCCAAGTTTGCAGATGGTCAAAAAGAGGTATTGGAAGGATCAGTTTCTCCAGTCCCATTACACACAATGACACAGAAACGCTGAAGCCTATAGCGTCAAGTACTAATTTTTGAAATATGAGTCATTTTAGAAATGAGCTACAGAGAAGGGGATAAGACTGAAAAAATTTAGACCTAGGCTTTGCCAGAGAGGAAGCAAAGATGCAAGATAAACCCAGAGAATTTGAAAGGACAAAAATGTGAACTATTAATTATTTATTAATTATTAATTATATTATTATTGTGGTCATATTTCACTAAGCCAAGGAGTATGGCATTGAAATACTGGTAATTAAATTATTGTAATTATTATTTTCCATAGACATTTAATTTTACTATTTCCCCTCATGTAAAAGTTTCACTAGCAGCCATATGAGTTCTGCAGTGAATTGAACACAGTATAGAGGCCTAATTTTATACTCCAGCCCAGGCTGTAGTTAAAACTGGAAGCTGGTCATGTCCACAGCTGGGAGTTTCAGCCCAATTTGTTCAGGAGTATTTGTTACGTTATGTGCTGTGCTTTGCTGAAAAACTGCATAATCTGACTGATGTCACACCGTTCTTAACCTCCTCATGCATTTTATCATATTCTAGATCCTTGTAGTAGTTACTAGATATCAAACACTCCACGTCTACTTTGCCATTAGCCTATCTTTCAGCATACCTATTAATTATAGGGATCTGAACAGAATTAAATCATTTAATGACAATACCAATTCACAGATATTTTGGATGCATCATACAAAGAATAAACAGCAACATTTATTAATACCTTAACAATTCCTCCAAAATAATCCCTTTAATTGCTCTTTTACTACTTTGTAATAGCATATACTGTCAGGCTTCTATTGCCAGCTTCTCACCTTCATCCTCAGTCTGGGTTAAAAAAACCCAAACTATCAATGCTTCAAAATCAATTTTGGTAAGTCTTCCAAACTGCAGTATTCTGTTTCAGTTACAAGAGACTTTCTGTAACTAACAAAAGTCTAATCTCTCCAAGGGCATGCCATGTAATCGGTGAAAACAGAACAAAGATTTCCACAGAGAGAGGGGGCATTTCTTATATGTCATTATCTAACAACAGGCTGAAGGAACTCGGCTTTGTCTAGCTAGACTTAGCTATTGTGTGCAGCACGGGAAATTTTTTGCACCTTTTTTTGTCTGTCTGCAAAGAGGAAGGTGTAAGTTTTATTTCCTATGAAAAATTAAATATATCAGATGAGGCGTTTATTCTCAAAGGCAGAAGCTTTTTCAGCAACTAAGGAACAGTAGCTTATATCTTGGGAAACGCAGTACGGTGGATATTGTCTACTGAGCGGATGGCACCGCAGAAATGCATTATCTCTGTTCAACTGAACTTTACTCTGTAACATTTAATCATCCTTCCAAGATTGCTTCCATTCAACACTTGGGTTTTGTTCCCTTCTTGTGTCCTGTTTAGCACAGAGAATTTCTGTTACAAAAATGGTACCGAGAATGTTGCTGAAGAAACTTTTCTGAGATGTTGGTACATATTAAAATGCTGAGATTTGTAAGGTATTTCGAGTAGAGCCAGAAAGTAGAAAGGTGTGAAGTACAGGACTTACGGTAAATTGTTCAGACTGCCTACTCATTTGTCATGGTGGTACAGACTATACTGGTAGATACAGCTAGATCCTGGTACGCCAGTTCTAACTTCTTAGAAACAATGTGGGAAGCTTGCTTTACTTGTTAATATAAAACATGACCAAGACAGCATGGTATCAGCGGGAGATGATACACAGGAGATGGAGCCAAAACATTGCACAAATTTCACACAGTTCCAAGCTACGCTGGAAGGTCAATGCCTAACCTCTGACTAAAAAATAAAGCAACGTTTGGATTTTTTTTCAGGGGATGATGTATGTAAAAATTCAAGGCTACTTATAATGAATAAATAATACTGTCTTAGAATATCTCAAGCTCTGAAGTTGTAAGGATTACTAACAGTTTTGTCCCTCTGCATCTGTACAGTATTAGCCACATCTGGTCCCACTTATAGAAATTTGGGATTTAGCTGGGGTTCAGATAGCTTCTGTTTAATTCCAAGGAAGATTAAGCTACAAAGGATCTTACAAAAAGTAATTAGCAAAAATGACCTAGCGTCTCACTGTTGACTACCTTGCCACTTTTAGTTTGTTGAAGCCTTCCAAAACTCCCGTTGCCACTAATGCTGGAGTAGCTGGAAGAACATCAGTTTAGATCTCTCATTGGAAACCTGATTATTTCTTATCTAGTTTTTCAACTACTCAGAAAAAAGCATCAGAATACTACTGGACGTGACAAAGTGGATAGCCTTGCAAAGTATTAGAGCTGTCTTTGTGAATATCAAGTAGTGGAACCCAAAGCCTGTTTGAACTAGTGTCACCTGCTCAAGAGAAATTTGGAGGTAAAGGGCTTTAAAAAAAAAAAAAAGAAATGCCATCTGTTAGAACTGAACCTGTCATTTTTCAGAAGGAAAATAGATGAGATCCCTACAGAAGAATTATACCCTCAGAAAAGACAAGACAAGGGCCTCTTTTGTGTCTTTATTTATCTATAGGGGTGGGGTGGGGTGGGAGGCAGTGATCGTGGAGGTCATCAGATTCAAAACCCTTCCTCCTCAGGAGCAATTCCCAGACAGACTGAAAGAGCACCGGTGTCAACTGAAGAGGGTCGTCATCTAGTAGCTGCAGACCTGCTGGTCTGAAGTTGAAGGTGAGACTGAAGGAGCATCAAGAAGCATCAAGATCTGTATCAAAGTATCTTCCCTTTAAGACCCTCTGTGTTTAAAGTGTGGCGGTTTTGCAAACCCTCCTGAGAGATTGAAACTATTCTATATCAGCTGAATTTTATGAACAAGGAGAGTAGGAACACAGAAGAAAGCTCCCCAATTCCACAAAATGATCTCAAATAGTACAACAACACAGTGCCTCATGTAAGAGAACACTTGTTAGAATTGGGCCAGCTGGAATCAGATTAATGACATGGACCCGAAGACTACAGTGGCAGAACCACCCCTCCCAAAATCCAAACAAAACCCTCCCAATTCCTCCCCCCCCGCCCCGCCCCAACCATCTAGCACTAAGGTCCTGATAGCCTTCAGATTCAGAGAGGCCACCCACAATAATGCTGTTAGAACTGAGAAGAGTCCCATCCTGCCTCAAAGGAGGGAAAGATTTTTCAAGCACTGAGGGCTGAGGTCACCATCTTGTGGGTCACTGCTAAAGGAAAGAGCCTGAAAAACTCATGAGCTTCCGCATCCGAGAGAGGAGAAATTCCCAGCACAAAAAACGCCAGTGTGGACAGAGAGCACATCTAAAAGAGCTCTATCATCAGCATGTTTGTCAAGGTTGGTACTGGAGATGTTAACTAACGTTAGAGAGGTGTAGAGCCTGGGCAAGTATCAACTTTGAGTTCCCATTGATTTTCCATGAGAATTTTCTGATATGAAAAACCAACTCGGGCTGCAGATCAGTAGATGAAGTAGAAATTAATGCCCCAAATATGATTCAGGACTTGCAGGCAGAAGAGAGAAATTCATGAAGAAGCATTCAAAAAATAGGTTGCTAGAAGTGTCCATCTCACCACGCAGTTTACCAGAACTAAATAATGGTAACGTCAATTACAACACACGCATGCAAAGGCAGAAGCAATCCCTCCAAGAGCGCTTTGAAGGCACAGAGAAAGTTTTCCTTTTCAGTGAAAGGGCACATATATACAAAACTGTGAAGCAATACATGAACTCTCATCAAGACACAACTATACCTTTCACTGTGAACTCTTGTGTATAGACTCTCTCAGCTCTGTGAAGGAAGGTATCCTGTTAACTAAGTCAGCATGTCTCACGTGGTAAGTGACGTCTGAAGTTATTTTGCTCTCAGTGTTTTTTTGGAGTAAGGAAATGAAGGTCTAAGGGGCACACAGATGGGACGATATCCCTCACAACATACTGCGAGGAAAACAAAACGAAACGTGTATTACTTCCATAGATTCTGGAGCAATGTGGAAAACCTCTCACTCAAGAACGCTGGATACATACAATCAATTGCTGGGAGAGGAGTAACAGCGCTATATTCTCCATAAAAAGGGAAATGTAGATTCTGAGGCTACAGGTTTTGTTACTCATCTAATGATACCATTACAAATATCTATGTAAGCTGCTGTGACAATCTATATAGGGATACTTGCACCTAGGAAAAAAGTTGTCCTACTTTTGTGCTACTATCTGCATTATCATCAGCATAAATATTTAATAACAACTTGAGCTTTGAGGCCTTGCTGTTAATCAATAAGGCACAAGTCTGAACACAGTGGGAACTATCTTTATTGATTTATATTATTTTCAGCAATGATTATTTTAACAATTAAAAAAAAAAAGTCTTTACTAATTAATGACTACTGAAACAGCCAGACCCTTCCAGCCCATTTCATATTCTCCTGCAGCCATTTAAGAGCAGATGTAAGATCCAAGCTGTAAACTTCTTCCATATTAACATTCATTGTCATATGCTTAAGAAAAAGCTTTGGATCTGATATACGAGCAGCTAGGATCAGCCTCTCCACTGCTGTTTGATAGTCGTCTTTGCTCTGCCCTTTTGGATCTTCACATCTGTAAGAGATTTTTCACAAATACGAAATTATGTAACATTCAGGCCCTGTGACACTTGCATGATGCCTTATACTGGCAACAAGATTATAAAAAATTCCATGCCTCATGTTCACTTCACTTACGATAGATTATGTTAATTTCTAGACAATTCTTAGCTGATTATTCCGAAGAATTAAAAAGTTAGAAAAAGTGCTCTCTTAAACATATTTCACAGTACTAGAGAATAACAGGATTTAATGCCAAAGCAAAGTAGGTCTGCAATATTCACGGCAGCACATTTCATCAAGAAATGCTCAACTCTGGGCTGGAAAGTTCAGTAAAAGAATGTAAAACATTTTATGAACTGGATATTGCAAGAATTTATGTACGTCCTTGCATCCAAAATGATTACTCATTTTTGGCATATAATCACTTTTGGAGTAAGGATGTGCTCAGTGACATGCCTATGTTTTGGGATGATTAGGACCATATTCTCTAACTAAACCAGCAGAGGTACAACAGCATACACCTGAAATTGCTATCTAGTGTTGGCTAGAACTTTTATATCAATCAACAAATGGTCTTAAAAAGAAAAAAAAAATCTCATGATGGAGTTAAATTATCTTATGTGTCAAATCAGCTGAAGAATGTATCATGACTCATCACAACAAATTTTCTGATGACAAAAATTCTTAAAATTATACTGTTGTTCTGGCCAGCATTATTTTCTAAATAAATTAGATCACAGTGCGAGTTCAGTATGATTTTTCTTTTCTTCTGCAAGATACGCGTTTCTTATTTGATAGTATATAATGATTATTTTGTCCTGAAGTAATCGAACAGCGTTCCAAAGGTAAATTCAATATTCCCCTAAACGACAGCAGAAAAACTTCCAGAAAACAAATCAGGCATTTTTGAGGTAAGATGTTCCAAAAAGATATAGAGATAAAAAGCTTCTCATTTGTTGAAAAGAAAAACTAAGGGAAACTATACCTTGGGAAGGGTGGGAGGAAAGAAGATACAGAGTATCTGAGTTTGAGATGCCCCGGTTCACACTTAACAAATCCAGCTTTTCTATGCAGTTTCACATTCTGATGCTGAGCCACCAAATCTCAGATAAATTGGGGTCTTGAAAAATAAAGTATTAGTATAATCTAATGACAGTGATTGGTAGTTTATGGACAAGAGAAATTACCTTTTATCTGAAAGTATTCGGTCTCATAGGGAAAAATCACAGTAAGAAATTTAATACTGAGATATCCCCTACAAATAGAATCAAGTAAAATGGCCTCATGCATTCCCCAAAGAACAACCAAGAAATGTTAGATTTGCCTTTCGAAAGGCATAACATTTTGACTGTGTTCTTCTACTCCACTGCTTAATCACAACAAAAGAATCTATACACTGAAATATCAAGCTATCCTGGTTTAGAAAATACAATATGCTCTTAATGCGCTAGACATATTCAGGTAGGGAAACCAGTTCAATATCAGTCTGGAATAACTATTTTCCTGCTCGTAGCTGTTATATACATATAAGAATTTAAAAAAAGAACATGTTTACTGCTCTATCCCATCCAACAGAAAACAAGGTCTCTCATGAATATTACACAATCACATTGATAAATACTGTCAAAGTGATATATATTTGTCAACAAACCTTTTCAGTATTATTTGAAGAGTCTGATTGGTAGCACCTAGACTTTGAACATCACTGGCATTTGAAACAAGGAATATTTCAATGGCCAACAGCATCTCTACCTCAGACAGGTAAGAAGGAATTGGCAGAAGTTTGTGATACAAATTTCCCTGCAGCAGTGGGTAGCAACCCAATGACAAAGCACCTGACAGTAAATGAAGAAATGCAAGAAATTAGTGTTACCAATACTGATCATAGATCTGTTTTCACCTATATGTGGCTTAGAATGCAGAAAGAAGTAGGTAAAAAAAAAAAAAAAAAAACAAAAAAACACCCTAAAAAAGTAAGAATTCTTAACAGACTTTATTATTATTTCACCTGTGAAATGGCCTGATTCAAGAACACAACAAATAGTCCATCCTCATAACACTCTCTGTTGTAAAATGTTATTTTCATCAATGAGTATTATCAGTGATGATTATCGCTCTAAATAGGAGTATAAGGAAGTATAGTTTGCCTAGATAAAAACGTGAAGACAATACACTTTTTAACCTTTTCAGTATTCACATTTCGGAAATTCTGAAATTGAACTCTGAAATTGTAGCTAATCCTGATATTTTGGTTACAAATGAATTGCTGATAGCGATACAAAAAGTACTGTTTTCTCCTTACAAAGTATACCCTTACCTATTTCTCCCCAATATACTGAGTTTTTATGAGTGTACGCTGTCCAAAGAGCATAAGCAAAGGGTATTGTTTAAAAAGCAACTTACTCTTGTAATAGGTCCTAGCTTTACTCCACAAACAACTTCTTCCCAAACTGGTGATTAATCCTCTAAGCAGAAAAAAATCAATAGGTATGTTTTTTGAAAGCATGAAGTCTACTGCAGAAGATGAGATCCCAAGGTTCTTGCTCTCAAAACAGGCATGTATCAGCTTGTTAAAAAGGCGGCTGTACCAGGAAACATCTACAGTATCTAAAATGAAGAATGTTAATTACTGAATTCAAATCAAAAGCAAGTCTAATTTAAGAGCGCTGTCTCAATGCTGGGATGAGTACCTAAATAAGGATTCTTGCTTCCATTAGCAAAAGGGCACACAGTTGAGATAACGTACAATAATGGCACTTTATTCAAAAGCCATTTCACATAGTTATACACATTTCCCTTACGTTGTGAAAGATAAAATTTAACATTAAAGTCCACATCATAATTTCCTGCTGAAAACAGTAAAATCAGATAAAAATATATGCCCTGCTCAAGATTAAGAGTACAATCTTTACCTGGTGTCTCAGACTCCCAAAATCTGCACCAATAAAATCATCTTGGTGCCTCAAGTTCTGCTTCTGCTCATGAACTGCCCACTTCTTGGCAGGATTCAGCAGCCTAGTTAGTATCCATCTCATGGGAAAACATGTTTTAGGATCCTCAAAGTAGACGGTGTTCCAACTAAATTCTCTTATATATACCTATTCTCTCAATATACCTAAGAATGCACACTGATAACAGGAGTGAGCCCTATACAAGTGAGTCAAGTGAGGTTTCTTCAGTGGAGATTAAGGAACTACCCATCTCAAAGTACATACCCAAATTTGTCAGATAAACGGAGCCTGAAAAAGCACTCATTTCTTCACATGGTGTGTAAAAGAAGCCTAGCTCAGCTTCAGAAACCAACAATGTAGAAATCTACACTGAAGTTAGAGGAAATGAATCTCCCTGATGACATCTCTGTTCTCTCCTACTTTTAAAGATAGTATGGTCTTTAAAAATTAGCAGGTCTTTCCTACAGTTCTGTGTAACTGGGACAACTGGAAAAAGAGGACAGCTGTATAAAGTGTGCATGTGTGTGTAGTACTGACTTAATTAGTAAGAGTTGCAGAGTACAGCAGGTATTTTCACTGTCATCTACACTCATTGCAAGAAAATGGGCATGTCAAAAATCCATCTTCAACAAATTTTAGCAGCATAAAAAAAAAAAAAAAAGGAACAGTACATAATCACCTGTTACATTTTTAGCTCTTAACACAGTACCTTTCTCTACTTACCAGAACAATTTTGGAAACCTGGTAAGTTCTGCAGAACTTCAAATGCCTCCCTGTATAAACTCTTACTCAAGTATTCGTACACCAGCGAACGTGACAGATTATGTCGTTTGAGGATGTCCATTTTATCACAGGGCCACACTGGTGCATTTGTGATCCATCCTGACTCTGCAGCAAAGAATAGCGCAGTGTTATTTCTACTGACTGAAACAGCTGGACACTTGTGACTTCTGGCTATTAAAAGTATATTATGAAATGCAACAGAAAACAAATTTCAAAGCTTCACATAAAGCTTAATTCTAGTTATTAATAATTTGTTCCTCATCACAAATACTTCTTAGATCCACCCCCTGAACCTTCATATTTCGAATAGCCCCATCTTTAAATATCATGGCAGTGTCTCTCATACAGTGGCTTGCCTTCTATAGTTTTATGTATAAATATTTTAAAGCCAAATAGCAAATTTTAGATCCTATTACTTTACAGAACATCTTTTATTCTTCTTCATACTCCCGAGTTTCCTTTCCTCTTTTCATCAGGTCAGCAGAACTCCAAAAAGCAAGTAATTGAGTTTTTTTATAGCAGAAATATTTTAATATTCAAAGTTAGCTTCATTATGTGTGGCTACTGTGAAGGGTGAAGAAACACTGCCCTGACCCCAGCTTGAGAATTTGTTGAATTTCACAAATTTCACTGAATTTCACCTGAGTGGAAGAGGAAACCTGCATGGAGCAGGCTCACCTTCCAAGCTGCACCCTTCCCCTATTACGGTAGGTTTTTGGATAGAACAGTGTGGATGGCAGTTAACTGAAAGTAGTGTTTCTGAAAAAAAGCTGGTATTAGTATTTCTTACATATATCAAGAAGAATGCTAGCTGATAAGATGGATCACATTTTTGCTGTCTCAGTAACAATACATTTATTTTATCACATAGACCAGCTTTTAACTTTTAGCTCAAATCTTTCGTAAGAGGGAATAGTACACACTTAAATGTCAAAACTCAGTTCTTTACAACACACATTTACCTCTCAATACCCATGTTGCTCCATCCAAACTTCCAGTTTTAAGAAAAAATTCTGCAGCAGTATTAACAATTTGACATCTTGATGCTGACTTTTCTGGACCAATAAGTCCTTTCAAGACTGTAAAGTATATCTTTAGCTCATGCAATTTATCTAAAACCTTCCTTCCCTAGCAGGAGAAGGGGAAAGGAACGGGGAAAGGTCAGAGAAAGTAATGACATGAGTGAACACAAAGTATATTTACACAAAATACAACAGATTTAATCAGGTGTATAGATTTAAATAGATCAGTTTAGTTACATTATCCAAGCCGAGTGGGGAGGAAAAAGATTTCAGTGATAAGAATTCTAATGAATAAATAACAGATTTTTTTTATTTTTGACTCTGCAGCTAAAAAAAAAACAACCATGGTTTAGTAGTTCCCAACACACTATTCCCTATAATACTATTTCCAGGGTAAAATGTTCCCATATAGTGTTTCTAATATACTTGGCAATTTATTTGCATTTGCTTACTCTAGTTTATTGACATTTTCACTGCTTTTGATTCCATTAGGCACCACAGATCGGTACAATTCTGAAAAGATCACACAGGTATTTCATACTGCAGCAGAGACATAACTGTTGAGCTGAAATAATTATTTCAGCATAAACCAAACAAAGTGCTAACAGATGTACTCAGCAGAAAAAAAGCTGGAAAAAGTAGGGCCTATCTGGCCAGCAGTAAAACAACCAATAATTTTAACATCAGATTCCAGGCTGAATTTTAGTCTGGTTTTCTAAGGAAGCTTTCCATGAGTCAACCTTCCTTTCCTTCCTCCAAACAACTTTCTGGTTTGTTGGCTTTTTCAGTCAAAGATGAAAGCAGGTTAGCAGTCTCAAAGACGATGAAGATCTGAGCAATCTAAGAAAAAGTGATGATCAAGGCAAGGAGAGATACCAAAATAATGCCTACAGCAAGACAGACAGGCACGATTCAGTATTTATCCTGTCCAGCAGGAGCTTGCTGCTCAACACATCTCCAGACTAGAAATGCTCTACCTCTTGCTTAGAGGGACGCATCAAAAAGGAGGCAGCTTATTAAAAAAACACGTGAGCAGAGGGAAAGGGAGGTTTACAAGAACAGGGAAGTCAACAGAAAATTAAACTTACTTAACAAGAGGTTAATTTCCTGAAAATGCCTTGTTTGTATGCACATTCATACTGTGCACTGGCACATGCTCAAAACTAGAGACTTTTAAAGGTCTACAAGGTACCTGCAACGGTGTGCTCACTTGGGTTATCTGGACGTAACCCATAAAAGAACACAGATTAGACAACCACAGTTAACATTTAAGGTGTAAAGAATCCCCTTCACTCTAGGTGCATATGGTTGTAGAGAAAAAAATACGTAGGAGGAAGACTACAGGTGAAACTTGAACAATAGAACAGAAATTTAGAATGTGTGTAAAAGAGACATAAAATACAAAATTGAAGGAGGACTGGCACATATGCCATCCTTCTAGTCAATGGAAGAGCCGCTAAAACGTTGGTCTTCGCAGAAAAGTGGAGAGCATGCGGCCATAAACGCAGATAATCTGCATAGGAAGAGCACCCAATGAAAATACAGTTGTGGAATGAGATCCTTAAATAGACAAAATTCTCCGACCATTCCCCTGAAGTGACAGAACAGTTGGGTAAAAATAAAACATAAAGTCCTTCTCTACAGGAAATAGTTGAAATATCAAATGGTTGCCAAAAGGGGCTTTAACATTGCTACAAGTAAATATCCAGAAAGTAGTCCAAGGTTGCTTGGAGGGCTGTCTCTATGGAATTCTATTCAAGTCTCATATCCGCATTGTTTTTCAAAGTGCATGTGTTTTATGGCCTTTCTCAGCTCTTAAAAAGGATATTCTCTTTATGAATACGGAGCATACACACTTGACCCTGACAGCCACCAAGCATCAAAGCTATGAGATAAAGGGGTTCGATGTTCGTGAAGGGGAAGTGATCTGAATGTCTCAGAAGCACATCTAGAGCTTGAGGCAGTTGAAAGCATTCATTAAAAAGGCAAGGAGCATGTCCTAAAACCAAAATTACGTCAGTCACAGCAGGAAGATCAATCCTTCACCTTGTTTTCTGGACCAATTTTTGGAAGCAGCAAGAGAGAAGATCAAGCAGATACTTCTCCATAACTACAGGATCAGAGACTTATCTGAAACAGATTATGGAGTGAAATTGGTTGTAGACAGGTAGGAATGACAGTTCTAGTTCATCCCTGAGACATGGATCAATTTGGGGATTGTCGGTTCCGATAAAAATCACAATCACTGCCTTGTTCATACTCCAATATTCTGAACGCAGGTTGTCTGCAAGGCTACTTGAGGATCTTGGTGAACAGTTTGCTGAGAGATGGATTTGACACCGAACACAACATTCACAATGGAGGTATGACTTTTTTTGCTCTTCGCATGAAAAAAAGTAATATAAGCAGACTGCTTTTAATAACCTCTTTTATACAAGAGAAACACTACACACATTTTTGACAACTCGCATCTCTAACATTAGGACGTGAACATGAACCTCTCCAGGATATCAGAGATTCTGCAACCCAAATACCAGGATGCCCATTGTAACAGACCTGGAAAACAGCCAAGTGTGCAACAGCATTTCCCTGCAAACACTGAATATACTCTCTCTGCTGAAGAGAGCCAAATCCCAAGGCAAACTAAGCTCTCAGATGTGCACATGAACACTAACCACCCAACATCAAGAATCTAGCCTACCTCTTCTGTGACCAGGAATTCTCTTAACTATTTTAACAGGTGAGTATAGTGGAACAAAAAATGCTTTAAAAATTTCTAGTGTAGTACTGTAAAAACGTTAATACAAAGACCTTTCCTTCCCTCTACTGCTAAACAGTGCCACACTGTGCTGTGACAATCTGTTGTGACAGGTGGAACAGGTGTGCTGCAGCCTGGTAGGGACTTGCTAAAAAAAACTCTTCAACCCAAAAAGACGATGCTCCAAAATTACCGATTCATCCAAATGGGTATATCGCCTCTACAGTAAGCAGCTTTATCAAATATCCTTTGGGGCTTGGGTTGATCGTGGAAATAGACGGTGCAGTGCACGAGTTTTATATAGCAAAAGTCCTGAAGGCCATCCCTTATACATAGTTATATTAAAAAGACTACTTTAATCCCTTGATACAAATTAGAAAGGGCTCCCCTCCAATAATTCACAAGGAAAACAAGAATCAAAAGGGGACAGGGAGGGTCTTTGCTTGTGTTCATAAAAATACATGCTAGAGACTATGTTATATGGGGTACTCCCCAGTACAGCATAATTATTAATGCCATTGCCAGGAAGGTAAATTCAGAATGGGATCACTGGCCAAAATACAGCTCCAAAAGCATGAGTGGTTTAAATAGCTTGTATATATTTTTTGTCGTTTTGCATTGTATAGGAGATCCAAGCTGGTAAACACTAGACCGCTTCCTTCGAGGAAGCAAAAGAAAAAATTATCAGTGAAACAGAGCTTGCTGCAGTGAACGTATGATTTTATGAACTTCTGAACCTCCGCTGAGGACTAAAGAGTGTAAATACCCAGTTAAAGGTCTAGTCTCTTAACCGTGGCCCTTTCTCTTATTTGATAGCAAGGAAAGGACTGTAAATGGTATTTCTTTGTGATAATTAAGTCTTTGCATGAGTCACAAGACTCCTAGGTCCAAATCTGGTAAGAGGTGTGAAATGAGAAAGAACCCTAGATTCTAAAGAGGAAAAACACTTCCAGTGATGTTCTGGGGAATAAGCTGTTCGCCAGGTACAGGAGTACTCCCCTTCTGTCTTCCTTGCCTTAGCCATTCCACTTGACGTCAGGTTCTAAGCCATCAGTGCAGGAAAGGGCCCAGTCAAACTTCCTTAAATATTCCTCGAGTTGGAAGGTTTCTGGATACAACAGTATTGCCAGAGGAAAGTGACATTTCCGGGAAAAAATCCCATCAGCACCTGGCCCCAGAATCTAAGGAAGACCTGTCTCTTAACTTAGGTTCATCCTTGGATCAGAAGTATTATGCCTGAGCCTAAATAATCAAGTTTCTAGGTTGCAAGACAGAAGTATGCTCTGTAATGTGCTTTTGTCTTGAAGCTCAGTTCATTCTACCAGGCTGCATAAATGTCTGGTATGCCTACCACTATAGGGAAAACTACCACAAACTGTATTTTGCTCCCAGGAAAGCCATGATTACACAAGATGCGAAAAATAAATTAAAAGTATATTCATTCTCACAAGCAACTCCCTCCACCTCGTTAACAAAGAAAGTAAGCAAGTAAGAGATACGTGTAGAAGACTGCTGTTCAGAAAGGCATAACAAAATGCTTTGATCCAGCTGAATGGTTGAGAAGGGCTAAGGCTGGGTGAAACAGATGGCACAGCCAGCCTTTCCTCTAGAGAAACATAGTTCAGCATTTAAAAAAAAAAAAAAAAAAAACGGACTCAGCCTTCCAATCAGGCTGCTATAGCCCAGTATACCTTTATCCACTGCAGTACTTTGTGATAAGAATACATTACACTTATCCCAGCTCTTCCAATGAAAATTCTGTCTGCTTCACTACACTGTGAATTTTTTATTACTGGAAGGGAAAAAAAATATATTACTTTTGGGTTTATGTGTAAATGTAGTTTTAAAGAAATTACACACTCTAGAAACAAGGTCATTGTGAAAACCTTAAATATATTTTCTGGAATATTTGGCATTAAATTAGAATTTCTTAACAAAGTACGATAAATAACTATAATTTATTCAGAGAACATTTTGTATTACTCTAGTTCATCCATAACAATAAGATGCTTGAACATATAATGGCATAACTTAATATAGTTATTTGCAAATTAAACTTCTCATTTTTTGGCACCATGAAGAAACGATGGCAATTACAGACCTGTGTTGAGTTAGAAGTTTTTGCAAACCACAGCACCATCTTTTACAATATATCCTACCAGTCTGGATACTGGACACTACAGACTAAGTTCCAGGCCCCACCAGAACCTTGTGGGTGTTCCATGACTGGAAGCTGTGATAGTTGTTTTATAACATGAAAGTCTGAGGTCGGAAAGGTCATGTCATATAATTGGAAATAAAATATTCCTCAAATTGTAGTAGTTAATACAGGTTGAAAAGGATCTGAATCATCAATAAAAAGATTTAATATCCAACTGTCACTTCACTGAGCCTGTTTTTCATAATCAATACTAAGAAGAAATGAGGTAGATACGTAAGTGAATGCATGTGTGTAGGGTAGTGGTGGTGGGGGGAAAGATGTCAGAAGTTTTAAATAATCAGAAGGCATTTTGTTCATGCAGCCCTTGTAGAAATTCTTGGTTCTGTACAGGATTAAATAACTCTGAAAATCTAAACTACTAAAAGAAAGTACAAGCTAAATGTACAAGACATGATTCCATTCAACGTGTTTTTATCTGTATAAATGTATCTAGTTGTATTTACAATCCTAAACCTCATTTATGCTATTAAGAATGTGGCACTTCAGATGACAATACTTAAATATGCTTGTCTTTGTCCTGAGAACAGGCCAAGATTGATTTATTAATGAAAACGTCTTCTTTTCCTGATCTGTCAAAGCTCAAGAGTGCACCTTTTGGAACAGGTGGTGAAACCCATTTAAAAATCCCTGACTTCTGAAGTATGAGCACAGGCAAATTTATTTCGACTAGAAAATGGCATCTACTGAGCATTTCAGTTGACTGCATTTGCAGCTAAAGGAATTCTGAACATTGTATCATATAAAATTGACTAATGTCAAGAAAACAGTCAACATACTTTTTTTTTTTCGTTCTTTCAAAAACTCTACAAAGAATAAAGGTGAACAATAAAGTATTTACTGCATCTTAATTTTACCTGCATCAGCAAAATCACAAAAAGGAACTCCTGGTCTTTGTTCCTCAGAATCTCTGGTTAATATTTCAGCAATAAATAATGACAATTTCTGAACATCACCAAAATGTTCATGTCCAGTTTTCAAATCAATATACAGATTTCCCAACTTGGTCCAATCGCTTTTTTCCCTGCAATGCTGTGAAGAAGGCAAGGGATAAATATAAGCGAACCTTCTTCCAGAAGACCAAACAGAAAAGGTATTTAAATTCAAGAGATATACCTGGAATAGACTTAAAGCAATAAAGAAAACAGAGTCAGTATATAATTTGTCCCCTATGACAGTACTGAATGCATTCTGATTCCTGACATTTCCCTCAACAGATTATCCCCTCTCTCTAAGGAACAGATCACAGCATCTAGATCAGTTAATTCAAATAAAGACATTTCTTATAATGCTATGATTAAATCTCAGCCTTTTATATTCTTTTCTCTCACTGTTCATGCTGTTATGACACCTTTTCTTTAGTTTGTTAAAATTTTATTAGCGCTATCAACCCCACTTTGTTTCACTGGGATTAAGTTAACTTGTATCTTCCCATTAATACAGGCTAAGATAAGAACATGGTCCCGGTCAGACACTTGTTACTCTGGTGTAACTTTTCCAGGAGTTTCAGGACTAAGCCTGTGTTTATGTGCTGTAATCTAGAGACGTGCTGGAGATGCACATACACATTGAAATGTGAACTTTAAACCAACCGGCTCAGGATACTAATAGCAGTACAGGGCTGTTAGGCAGGGTCTGCAGGTAAGCCAACTGAGCATTTATACCAAGACCTAAGAAGGATAACTGCAGACAAAAAATTATAGAGGTGTTCAAGCACTGACTGAACAAAGTCTTGAGCTGCCTGCTCTGAATTCAGTGTTGACACAGCTTTGAGCAGAAAGTTGGAATAGAGACCTCTGGCGGGCCCTTCCAACCCAAATTCTTCCATGGTTCAGCACAGACCACGGAATCCAGAATTTGAGTATTAATTTAAGAACTAATTTGGGTCAATCATCTCTCTGAAATAAAATGGAGATCTAGCCTTTTTTGATATGTGAAACTATCTTTTATCAGGAATAAATCAGTCTCAACTGCACTTAGCTTATTCCTTAATTTATAACCAGAATGAAACTCATGTTGCACTGATAACCCATGAGACCTGGAGCACTCTGGTTTCCAGCAACAACAAAGTCACATCTAACATTCAATTCTACATATGTTCAACTAAAATCCTGTACAGCATCTTTCTTCCGAGTTCACATTGAATAAAGAATATTAAAAGAAATGTTACTGTGGCAGACTGTAGGGAAAAAAAAAATCACCACAGTGCTTTTTTTGGTTAAGTCGCTACTGAAAAGTGAAGACATTGTAGCATTTGTATAATATACACCTATTTCTGCATTTGTGCCATGAGGTGCTAAATGCTGGTACTTAGAGCATAGTTCTCAGGTCTAGGTTCAAGATAAACCTTTCCCTTATAATTTTTAAATCTGTTCTCTATAAATTATACCTTTTTTAAAACTACTTCTTTCATGAGAAATAAAGCTTTTTATATCAGGCCAGGAAAAATCCTGATGGGCTTATACATACTTAACCTAATTTGACTTTATGATTCAGTCTTGGTATCTGATAGCAGGTACTTCACTGCGCCTTCTAGAGGAAGAGTTTTACTAGTCAGACTCCACAAACTGGGCACACGAAAAGCATGCCAAGAGCATGAAGGGTGAGACCGGGCTATTGAAATGGACCGGATCCCAGTTTAACTTCTCTATGTTGCATGGGTGTTTAAGGGTGACAAAAAGATATGACCGAATCTCATTCAAAGGTATCTGAGTTAGCGTTAAGGTAGGTTGCACCTGCGCTGATCGTTGTGTACACGGCAGCACAGGATCCAGTGGTGGCTGTCCTAACTCTTGCACTGTTTCTACAGCTCATGCTAAGATGCTGTGACCAGACTACCATTCGCACATGAACTAGTTTGCTAAAAAACTTATTTATATGCCTCATCTGCAGCTACACCTGTGACTTCAGTGCACACAGAGGAATACTCTCAAAGGCTACTTGTCCCCAAATGAAACAAGCTTCCCAGGGGGTTCCCAGCATAGTCAGGGACATTCACAGCCTGGGACTAGCTTGGCCTCTAGAGTTCCAGTGATGGGGGCACGGAAAGCCCAAGGTGAGAGGACTGCATGGTTTTGATAAGCATGTCTTGGACATGCTTATCAGGAGTCAGAGCTGACGTGCTGTGTTACTCCTATTAATATAAAGGGCTAATATTTGCAAATATTTTGCAGGCTCTTGGAAAGCTCATGAAGGAACATTTAACAGATATAATTTTTTGTGATCTCTGAGGTTTTTTTTTTTTTTTTAAATCTTTTTTGCAAGATGCACATCAAATTGATGGTTGTTTCCTCTATACTTGCCAGATGGCTTGAAGACGACTTCCGTATTATTAAAAAAATAAAATAAAAAAAAAAATCAAAATTAAGTCCTGGTTCTTACCTTCTTAAATTTAGGTCTCAAGGTGTGCATGATAGTAAGTGTGTGATAATTTGTAAACAGTACTACAACTGTACACATAAAAAGTAATCTGCCCTTAAGGACAAAAAAAAGTGTACCATTAAAGAAATTAAGTTATAACATTTACTTATTCTCTGAAATACCCGTTTACCATTACCAGTTACAGCCTTTTACAATTGCATCTTCATACTAGATGTGAATTCTATCCATTAAATAAAATATTAAATATATTTTTGGTACGGAAGATTAAAAGAACAATAAATGTACAGCATACAAAGCAAGTGTTTAAAATTACAAAATCTTTAAGTTAGGTTCAAAACTAAGATAAAAGCCTCAAGTATGTAGTTAAAATAAACACTGACACACCACAGAAAAGCCAAAGACAGTTTTCCCCTGGATGTTAACCTTTCTTAAATATGGCTTTGCTTACAATGTATTACCGTAAACTCAATAAACGTCATAATAAAAACTTAAAATGACATAGCAATTGCTATTTCCTGTAGATTTTAAAAAGTCATGAGATTTAACTAGTTTAAGCATTCCAAAAGGCTTAAAGAATGCACACATGCAATACCTGAATTTCAGTCATTGCCAAATTGAAGTCAAAATGCCAGTTCCTTTTACAGTGTTTTTCCTGAAATCTTCAATAAGAAAAAAAATATTAATGTGATTTTAACATCAAATGAACCTATTTCTATTCAAACCATTCACCTTTCTAACCCTATTGAACTGAACACCATACTAGCAGGAAGTGATCAAAAAAATCATTTATATTAAAAATGAATGTAATTTTTGACTTGATTTACTACAGACTATACAAACTGGACACTGAAAACAGACATTTATAACAATATCAAAGGAAGTCAGTACATGTATTTCATGTATTATGCAAATTATTGAACAGAACTATTTTCACAGAAAATATTCCCTTTTCTCAGGATAAGTATAATTGAAAAGGTAAGAGTAAGACTTGCAATCCATTAAGTAAATGTAGAGCTGTATTGCACATGTTTCTGACATGAAGGCAAAAAAAAGCGTTGGCTACATGAAACAGCGCGATTCAGCTTCAAATAGCTAGTAACATAACATTTTATTCTGCTTCTGCCACTGGAACAATGAACGCAGCTACCGAGTGCGATACAATCATGTAGAGATACTTAATCTACATATGGGTGAACTACTAAATGTAGTGGAAGTAATACAGTTGCTCTGTCTTCACAGATAGACTGCTTCTCAGTTTATGATAAAGGGACACACATCCTGGAAACTCGGAAATGGTCATTCCTTTGTGAATCAGATTCCTCATGTGAAAAATGATAAAAACTACCTCCAACAGGTGTGGTAAGTTGCATTTGTAAAACAGTGATATCCATGGACGACAGGTGTTCTCTTTATGGGACCAGTATGAAGAGCAGTAAATTTGATTTCCATAGTGTTTTCTCTTGAAAAAGTGATATCTTGTATTAAAGTAGTATGTGTTACACGTTTTGATTCCTCTAAGAATCAAAACTTGCTTTATGAACAGCAAATTTGTTTCTCAATTTTTATATGATACAGATGATGCACTAGGGTGATCCATTTTCTTGTAAGTGGTAGGAAGACATCAACAGTTTCAGAACAGATTCAGGTTGCGGTGTCACACTTTGACCAGCATCACCCAGCAACACTGGGGGAAAAAAAAAAGCACCCTCCTCCCCACTTATGCTGGCACAAGCAGTTATGCAGTCTCATAGCAAATGAAACTAGAAAACTACTCCAGATAATAACTAGCTCTCCTATTGCCTACAAGGGCTTTTTATTGCAGAAGTACTGCTTGTTTATGCTGGCTAAGATACGTATTAAATCATAACATCTCTAATTTGACTATAGTTATACAAACTTGCAGCACACCTGGGAACAGCATTGCATGAGATTGTATTGTAAAGTGATATCAGTTTGTTTCAAAGTTAAAAGATTTCAAAGATAGAAGATCCAAGATTTGGATTCCGACTGCAGTTATAATTAGCTTTTTTCATATTGATCATCAGAGTACAGTTAGGCATATGATATGATAGAATCACATGTATTTCCATCCAAAACACTAAGTCTGGATTTTCTAATTGGCTTTTTAAGTCTTTCCATAAACTTATCAAATAGAACCTGATGAAAGAACTAGATCAATTCAGTTACAAAAAACAGCTCCTTAAGGACATACCTGGATTTTATGTTCAGAATAGTATTTATTTCCTGACTGGAAACTTGCATTTGGTGAAGGAACTTAATAATGAAGTTAAAATGTTCAAACTCAAGAAACATACCAGCATCAACAAGCTGTAAAATCAAATAGGGGGAAGAAAAGTAAGCACACACAAAATTGGCATCACTTAAGTATTTCCAGAAGCAAGTGGCAAACATCAGTGGGGAAAAAACGTCACAAGGAATCTCAGTCAAAAACTAAGGGATAAAGAGAAGTCTGTACCACAAATTCACCTAACCACAATGCAACTTTTAAAAAATTCTATTTAAAGAATAATGAAGTGATACATTTGCGTTTTAAAACAAGGCAAGGTATTTCACAAATTTCAACAAATAGTAGCACAATTACACTCCTACCTTACAAAATATACTGATTAACATAGGCACAGCATCTCTTATGTTCAAAGAAGCCATGTACTCAAAAATTTTCAGAAGAACATCAACAGCTGGCTAATTTAGGAAAAAAAAGCAGAATTAGTCTTACAACTTTGTTCAACTAGAAAGCTTAGTGTTTTTATTATAGAATTTATGAATTGCTTCATGTTTTTTTCTTATAAAAACTGGGTATCAAAGTAAAAACAAACTTATTACTACAAATGGCATAGTACTAGAAAGGCCAAGGTACTATGGATCAAAGAGTTTTTCAAAATATCCCAAGGTCACTTACCAGTATATTAATCAGTACAGTAACATTCAATATCTGACATACTTCTTGAAACAAACAGTTCTTGAGCAAAGAAATGAGAAGATCATTGAGGACTTGTGAAGCAAAATCTACACCAGGCATAACCTCTCTGTAATACTTTATAAATATTTGTGCTGAAAAAAAACAATTAAAATCATTTCACTTCAGGGTAACTGATTAACTATTTAAATGAGTTATTCCCTTAAATTTTAAAAGCAGTATAACAATTCTTAACTAGCCAGGATATTATGGGACTGTGATATTGAGAAAAATGGGTAAAAGGAACCAGTTTGAGTACAATGCCAACCTTACTAGACCCAGACTAACTATTCCGAAATACCTCATGACGCTGAGCTGAACTCCACAAGCCCTGCAGGCTTCAAAGAAAGCTTAGTTTATTTGGGGCAGCATAGGAAAAAAACGCGCAAAAAAGAATGCACAAAACCAGTTTATATTTGGTGCACGAAGCCAGTCAGGCCTCTCCAGATGTGAAGCATTAGGCAGTGCAGTGCTATATCCAAGCGGATGATCTTACCAGCTGTTCCAGTGCTAGCCTTCACAGACATGTACTGGAGCCTGCAGGTGCTCAATGTTGTCTGCATTACAGCACTCAGTATTTCAGCAAGGGAACGTTACTAAATAGGGTGCAACTGCATCCCATGTTGGCGTGGTACTACACCTGTTCTAATAAACTTTCAAAAACCCAGACTGCTCAGGACAGGTACAAAAGGAATGACCGTACAGAGTCAGATTTAACCCTTTTCAGCTGGACTCAAGAGGCTCAGACGGGTCTGAACGAACTATGGTCCCTAAACTGTGTTAATCATAGTAGTATGGCCATATGGTATATAGTAAAGCTGTCTGGGTGCTTTAGCAGCACTTCTTTGGAAGAACTTAATCCTAAAGTTTTTGGACTTACAGTGTTTGGTCAGGATTTTTAAAAGCGTCTTACAAAATTTTGGTTCAATTAAAAAGCCCCACTCAAGTTAGCAATCTCTGTTCTCAAACCTAGTTCCATTTTGGCCAAGTTCATTTTGCTTGGCAATAAGACTTACGACAACCTCCTAAAATAACTGCATAGCTAAACTCCCAACCTCAATAGGAAGTTGCACTAGGAAAACACATGGACTGGACATATTTCTCCTAAATCAGAACTTCTTATTCACTGCTGAAGTTTTGCCGTTACTCTCCAGACTGCTTCTGTATTTTAAATAAGCTATATATCAGAGATGCATCAAAAGCTACCGCTATATCATACCTGCACGCTGCAGAAGGCCTAATTCATTAATAGTAATATACGTCCGAAGTATTGCCATGCAAATCTAGAAAAAGAGAAAAAAAAAACAGTAAAACATGACCTCAGTTTATGCTATATTCAAACAAAAGAGCAATCCTCAAACACAAATTCTGTAAGGAAATAAAGTTTACACTGCTATTACTTAACTCATACATAATTGGGTCAATAAGCACTGTTAAAAGCACAGCAAATTTATAAAATATAAAAATAATACAGATGGCATTTTTGGGAAAAGAACTGCTGGGATCACAGCTCCATGCGTGTGTAAGTATACACTCATAATAAACAAAAAAGAAAACTGAAAATACGTTTACCTGGAATTTGCATAAATGTGACAGATTGTAAGCAAACATCCAGAGAAAGGGTAACCCAAGGGTAAAAGTGAAAACATGATGAAAAAAATTACATAAAGGCTTCAACTTAAAGAGTCAGATAATCACCTAGAAATAAAGTTGCTAACATTGCATCTTCTCCAAAAGCCACTCATAACGGCATACAAGAAAACTCTCAGCACTAACTTGAGTTAATGAACCATTTGACCCCAGATCCACTTGATTTAAAAAATAAATCTATATTTAGACATTTTAATACAATACTTTGTACTGTATTTTTATTTTAACATCTTAAGCTGCCCTAAAAAACATATTAGCCTCAGTTTGCGACACTTACGCGTTTTGCTTCAGCTCTACAGATGAAGAGAGTACTGAGATTAAATCTTAGAATTCTTAGTTAGAAAAAAGAAATTTCTGATACTTGTCACTTCTGGAACACTGACAACCTTTCTGCACAAAAACCTAAATGGATCTTACATTTAATACTATTTTGTGAAATAATCAAAAGTCAAGAGACAAACCACCCTGAATTTGTAATCATGTTTAAACCGAACTCAGTTCTGTAATTTTTTAAACTCAACTTCAAAATTAGTCAGGATCCAGTCATGGTTTTAGTAACACAGTGAATGGATTATCATCAAAGCCCAAGATGCTGGCTTGTGGCCAAGACATCTTTCTTGAAGACCAACAGCCTGTTCAGATCACCAAGTCAAACAAGACGACCATTCTACATCTGCGTATGCTGATTACAATTAAAAGCTGTTTTTGTTCTTAAACAGCACCATAGTGTCATTGAGTAATGGCCTAAGGCATCTTTCAGAAAATCATGTAGAATCTTTGCTCACCAATATAAATGCAGTGTCATTTGGCACTGGGTGAACTCATGTAATCCAAATCTACAATCCCAGGTGGCTGAGGGCATTTCCAATACAAACCTTAGCACACGCTTACACTATGTAAATTAATTTGCTGCCTTTTGGAATTTGTTTTCCTCCTCCTTTGGACTGACTCCCAAAAAGCACCAAGACTGCATCTGGGGCTATGACTGTTCCAAGTATTAGTGAAATTGCTTGGAAAATCCAGTTGTATATGTAACTATTGGGACAAGTTACATTACACGCATAAAAACCTAATTTTTCTGTTTCATTTCCGGCTTCTAGTAGGCTTAAGTTGATTTAATTGTTTCAATTTATAAAAGGTGTAATTAAATCTAAGGACCATACACAAATGTCAATCTCTAAATTCTGAGTTAATCATAATAGATTTAGGATGAGGGCATATGTATAATAACTAAAAAATAAACTTGCAACAGGAAACTGCCCAAGCCTGTCTCTGAACTGTGACAGAAAAGAATCTTTCAGTAAGCAAAAACGCAATGAATGCGAAAATAATGTTTCCTGTGAGGAATTACTCCAAAATAGACATTAACTGTCAGAAAACAGCCAATCAACAAAAAGCAGTACTTAGAGTTACCTTGGAAAAAGGTTACTACTTTTTTTTCATTGGTGAGCACTTTTGAAGAGATTGACACAGAAATTAAATGACAATATTTAACGTAAGAGAAGAATCAATTAGATTAAATTATCAGCAAAAGAACTCAATACTCCCCCATGTTAATAAAGTAAACTAGAAAGTGACATCTTCCCATTTTCAAAAGGTAGCACAGACCACACTGGTCTGTGAACCTCACCAGTTGATTCCACAAATAATTTAACACGACAATTTAATGAAAATGGGAACAAAATTGATACGTATTTTCTACAAGCAACTGACTATCTGGTATACCACAGTTTTACCACAGTAAAACAACAAGGTGCTGAATTTAGGAGAAAAAGCACCCAAATTTATGAAATCTTTCAGAATGGACTCTGATGTTTAATAAGGGGAAAACCCCACACTGCAGCCCTTCACTGCATGAGATCAAAGCAGGAGTTGCAAGGAGGAGTTAATAAAAACAGAAATCTTCCTATTTTATATCATGTTTGTTGATAGAGATTCATAGGATCAAGGAGAAAGACAAAGATATGTCTTTCAAGCCACTTATTTATTGTAACTGTGCAACTATTAGCCATGTTTAAAGTGTCATTTAAGATAGCATAATGTATTACAAGTATATTGGTAAAAAACAAACAAAAATCACAAAATTGTTGAGGTTAGAAGAGACCTCTGGAGATCATCTAGTCCAAAGCCCTTCCCAAAGCAGTCAACTAGAGCAGGTCATCCAGGACTATGTCCAGTCAGGTTCTGAATTGAACTAAGGATGGAGACTCCACAACCTCTCTGGGCAACCTGGTCCAGTGTTTGATCACATTTGCAGTGAGCAAGTTTTCTTATACTTAAACAGTATTTCCTGTATTTCAGTTTGTGCCCTCTTGTCTTGTCACTGGACACCACTGAGAAAAGTCTTGCCCTGACTTCTTTATTTCCTTCTCACCCCATCAGGTGTTTATACATGTTGGTAAGATTCTGTCAAGCCTTCTCTTCTCCAGGCTGAACACTGCCAGCTCTCCGAGTCTCTTCTTGTATGAGGGGCTCCAGGCCCTTTATCATCTTAGTGGCATTTTGCTGGATTTGCTCCACTATGTCCAAGTCTTTCTTGTACCAGGGAAACCAGCACTGGACCCAGCACTCCAGCTGTGGTCTCACCAGTGCTGAGCAGAAGGGAAGGATCACATCCCTAGATCTGCTGACAACCTTCTTCCTAATATAGCCCAGGATGCTGTTGACCTCCTCCTTTGCCACACAAGGGCACACTGCTGGCTCAGGGACAACTTACTGTGCCCCAGGAACTCCAAGTCCTTTTCTCCCAAGCTGCTTTCCAGTCAGTCGATTCCCAGCCTATACCGGTACAGAGGGTTATTCCTCCTCACATGAAGGACTTTGTTTCCCTGTGCTGAACTACATGAGATTCCTGTTGGCCCGTTTCTCCAGCCTGCTGAGGTCCTTCTGAATGGCAGCACAACCATCTGGTGAATCAGGCACTCCTTCCAGTTCTGTATGGAATATGAATTTGCTGAGGGTGCACTCTGTCCCATTGCCCATGTCATTAATGAAGATGTTACCCCTAGAACCTCTAAGGGTACACCACTACTGACTGGCCTCCAGCTGGACTTTGTGCCATTGCTGACAACCCTTTCAGCCTGGCAGCTCAGTCAGTTTTCAGTTCACCTCACTATCCACTTACCTCGTCCACATTTCATCAGGTAGTCTTTGGGATGGTATGCTATGTCGAAAGCCTTGCTGGAGTTAAGATTATAAATATCAACTGCTCTCTGCTTGTTCACCAGGCTACTCACTTCATCACAGGAACCTATTAAGTTGGTCAAGCATGACTTTCCCCTTCATAAGTCCATGCCGGCTACTCTCAGTTACCTTCTTGTCCTTCATATGTTTGCAAACAGTTTCCAAGAGGATTTGCTTCATCAGCTTCCAAGGGATCAAGGAGAGGGCTGACCAGCCTGTGATTCCCCAGATCCTCTCTTTCTTGCTCTCATGAAGACAGGAACGACATTTACTTTCTTCCAGTTCCAGTCTGTGCAGGCCTCCTGCCACCACTGCTTGACTTCCTGCATGTGGGGATGGACCACTTCTTGAGCTTGGAGAAGGTGATCCTTGAAAATCTCTCTTGGACTCTCCTTCGCTCCAGGACTGTCTCTCATTGGATTTGTACAAGCAGATCTCTGAACAGGCAGGAAGTCTGCCCTCCTGAAGCCCAAGGTTGTGATCCTGCTATTTGCCTTGTTTCCTCCCCTCATGATCCCAAACTCCACCATCTTGTTCATGGTCACTGCAGCCAAGGCTGCCCGCTGATCTTCATATCACTGACTAGTTCTTCCTTGTTTGTAAGTATGAGGTCCACCAGAGCTCCTCCCCTTGATCAACTGTTAGGAAGTTATCAATGCACTCTAGAAATCCTCTGGATTTGGGAACTTGCTGCTGTGTTGCCTTTCCAGCAGATATTAGAGCGATTAAAGACCCCCATGAGGACCAGGGCCTGTGAACGTGAGGCTTTTTACAGTTGGCTGAGGGCCTCACCTACTACTTCTTCCTGATCAGGCAGTCTGTAGCAGACACCCACAACATCGCCCACGTTCGTCTGTCCTCTAAACCTAATCCATAAGCTCTCAACTGGCTCATCATCCATCCCTAAGCAAAGCTCCATGCGTTCCAGCTGCTCTCTCTCATGTAAAGGGCAACTCTCCCTCCTTGCCTTCCTGGCCCATTTGTCCTAAAGAACCTGTATCCAGCCACTACAGCACTCCAGTTCTGTGAGCTATCCCACCATGTCTGTGACCACGATGAGATTGTAGCCCTGCGCGTGCACACACCTCTAATTTCTTGTTTGTTTCCTATGCTGCATGCATTAGCATACAGGCACTTCTGAGAGGCACCCAGTTGTACAGATTTCACAAAGAGGAGAACCTCCCCATAATGCTCTTCTCTCAGTGCTTCCTTATTTGTGCACATACCCTTGAAACAGGCCCCCTTTTGCCTTGTCTTGTTGTTTTCAAGGTCTTTCTTGTCCACATCAGCCTGCAGCACCCTTTGCTTCCCAAACCACCTGTCACATCCTCACTTGATTGTGGGTTGTCATCTCCCTCCCTTGTTGTTCCCAGTTTAAAGTTCTCCTCACCAGGTTGGCCAGCCTGGTAG